AATTGTATATGTTGTCTAGGATGGTGACAACATCAAGCTTTCATAACACAGAAATACTATTTGTTCTTGCCGCCTTCCGATATACTTTCTTCTACAGGCTACGAGTTTATTCTTGAACACAACAAGATAGAAAACATTATGACATGCTCGAGTTACACTACATTTGTGATGAGTTACAGAAGCAGCCATTGACTTTATTTGTAATATATATAGTAGCTATAACAAGTTTAATTATTAAAACTTGGTATTGAATATGGAGAAAATGATCATGACATGACAGTGTTATGAATGCTAAATAATGCTGTAATTGATGTAATCCTTCTATCAGTAAACTGACTCGTACATTAAAACTGTGTAACCTAGATGAAAACAATATGTGATATGTCAAAACAAATTGTTGAATATGTCCATCGGTATTTCTTAGTCTTATGAAAAAAATAAAAAGGGTAATAACTACGAAATGATACTGGAAAACGGTACGCGTCACTGCAATACTGCAATGAAAAATCCTTCATATCATGATCAAGTGTATTGGGGGTTTGTCTCCCTTCACCTCTACGTTCACAACTGGACAAAAGTATATACATATATAATGGAGCCACTATTTTAAAGTACGATCTCACTGAAATGTCAAAACCTGAACACGGTAACATGACATTCAGTCCGGCCACGGTATCTTATTTCAGATGAAAATGACTGGAAGTGCCTGTGTAGAAACAACAGACAATATGTGTAGGAAGGGACGATGGAAGTCATTCCTGTTATATCAGGAAGAGAAGACACTGTAAGTATGCTAGGTATCCAGAAGACAATACAAAGAAACACCGTTTCTGAATACTTTATATAAAACAACAACGTTCCTTAATTGAAAGCCATTAAGATATTTGCATGAATGCCGAGTAATTTGCGAAGGCTATTTCTACATAAAAAATGTGAAATAACTGGCATACATTTAACGAATGAACAACACGTTTGTCATTTTCGGAAATTGTACCTGGAGATTGTTAGACAAAGCATGTAAATCATGCCATATATGTAATGAGTTCTGATAAAACATCGACAGAAGATAAAAAACAACCTTTTGACTAATCGATATAATGTAAGAGAAATATGAAATACTTTTAAATTTGTCTGAAATCTCTTATTGTTGTTTTACTTCATTCACAACAAATAAAACTCGTGTATGTCACTGTCAGAAAGTCATGTTTTATTGTGAAAAACACCAACGAATGTTGGGATGTTGCACATGTAATAGGCAACTAATAAAAGAACTGGCAAATTTTGTTTGTGTCTTCTATGAGGGAACTCGCCAACAACCAAACAAAATATGTTGCACCCCTTGAAACATTTGGGATACTGTATTTTCTTTCTACTTCTTTCCTTTTGTTTTGTTTCCTTGGCCCTTCCCTGACAATAACTCATTTACAGACTTCGTGTTTAATGTTCCCACAAATGAGGAAGGTATTTGAATGCGTCCCAAGCCAGGACGTACCTGTTTTCTTAAAAATGATGGTTTTTACTCCGTGCTAAACGTGCAGCATTTAACGGAAATCGCAACAGATATTATACTCATTGTCAGTGTAATGTGACTAATAAGAATACTTTCTGCATGGTATTCAGTAAGGTAGCACTATAAAGTCGGCATCAGATTCAAGCTAAATAACCTTAGAATTCAAACAAATTAAGCACCGTAAACCAACCCGCAAAAAGGTAAAAAGACAAGGCATACTTTGGTTTGTAAATCAGAATACTTGTCACATTAACATTTTATTTTTTCCCTTTCTCCATGTTGATAAATGTATAATTCCCCAGGGTTTCCATCAGTTCCCGCCTGTCTTTGTAATGAACGGTTAAGGACACACCTTTCATTCGATCTATCGCATGGTTTCTACTTATCAAAAGTTAATTTAATAATCTATTATTAGATGTGACTGTTTTCACTTTAAAACATAGCGAAATACATTACTAATTGACTGTATCGTAGTTCCATTTTATTTAATCAGAAACCTTATTACATTAAAGTCAGAATTGACATTCCAGAACTTAAATAATCTGAATTCCATTGCGTCCCGACGACGACAGTTCAATTGCCAATCTAATCATTTATAAAATTTTCTCTCTTTCCAGTTTGTAGTTAAACGAAGCCCCGGATGCTGAATACAGTTGGAATGTTAAAACAATCCAATGGAAATGTCCGAATTGGCAGAGTTTAATCTAGAACCCCAATGAGTTATATAGAGAGAACAAAGGCATGGTGTTAGACCTTACGTTTGCTTCATGACGGACACAAATATTGCATTGCATACACAAGAAATTAAAAAGTGATTTTATCTGCAAACAGGGTCACCTTACAAAACACAGGCACATATTGGCCAAACTATATGTACAGAGTACATAAACCGTCTTTATATTTGCTTTTGGTGTGACCTTTGTTCATATCATCTAAACTTACTTGACTTATATCAAGGGAGATAACAAACATTGACTGTAGTCGTCAGATCGATTTATCGACCTTAGCAATTGCATTTATGTTGACGGCTTTTCGAGATCATATCAACTGTCTGGGATCGCAACAGAGAACATATTAGCGGCGCTATTCAATAAAAGATTTGAAAAGGGTTAAGTAAATAGTGTGATAGGTAAGTTCTATGTATTGCTGACTAAGGAAGCGTTTTTGATTTTAAAACAGTATATTTTGCATAGCATTTTCTGTTCCCATCTTATATGTTTGTCATTTTCTTTCTGTTATTATAAAATAGTTCCGTACAGATACATACTTTTGCTATGAACCGGAATGCGTTGATGGTCGAATTGGAATGGGAAGGGGTATCAAAGATGAAATACGCGTGCGATAAAAATGTAACAATAGATCCTGCGTTCAACGTAAGCAAATATTGAATTGTAAACGAAACGTGACTGATTGAATGTCCTGTGAAATGTTCAGCAATTTAGTTTTTGTTAAAATAAGTGAATTATTCAGCATCAAGTCGACTGGATATTATTGATTTATTTTTGCATTACTTCAATTATCTTTGCAAGACAACCGTCAAGAGTAATTTGTAAATTAATCAAGTCTAAAGAAAATAAAAAGTCATGATAGCTTCATGAAAACGAAACCAGAACTGCAACATCATGATAATTGCACATTTATACGAGCACTCAGTGGTGTCCTGGAAATTCGATAGACATCGAATGAAGGCGCTTTCTTTTATCAGCATAGTATAGGCAATCAATATAGCATGTATTTTCTTTGGAGTAACAATAAAAATACATATAAATAAAAACAAAACCCCAACAGAGACAAACATTGGTTTGGTCTCACTTACAGGAAAACCTTCCGATTTACATCTGTTGGATATTTTAATTAAGTTCATTGACAATGGCAGTTTTTCGTGGTTTTTATCACACAGCGGTAGTTTACGACATCGTTGGTTACATTGAAAGATAACGACAGGTGTATCACAGAATGAATACGTGACGTAAACAACCTTATGGTGGTCTGTTCACAGACACATTTTTACAATTATAACTTTGATGCGAAATTTAAATATAGCAATCAAAGACCATTTTTTATAAAGAAGAAAAACACGTTTTATCATTATTATTTTTTCACTCAAAACACTAGAAAATGCTTACTGATAGATAAACAACACTCTTTCAAAATGTTTGTATTATTTACATTTACAAATAGCTGTTACTTTGACGGAATGGTTGAGAATCCGTTGCCGGACAAACTAGTGTTATGGGAAACGAAACGAAACGAAGAGGTTTTTATGTAAACAAAATTCATAATCAATGTTGTTTATTTACCGTTGAGGTGTCATTTAACGTTAACGATTTTGCTGGCTTTATTTACTGACAATATGTAATAATATGCAATCATGATATGAGTTTGAGATTTCTATATTTTTATTTCAAGGCTACACAGAGAATTTTATAGTAAAAAAACACAAAAGGTACAAGGTAAGTTCACAGTTCTAACAATTGGTAAGACGTAAATGTTTCGCTAGTCCATGTGGTAACAAGACCATTGTTACGTAAGGACAGATTCTATCGAATTAGCGACCAGATTTGTAAAAAACATTTATTTTGCTGTTTATACCGATTCTCGATTTCCAAACTACACCATTAAAGGCGTTCAGCAACATCCTAGACTACATTCTCCTTCCAATAGATTTACGTTTGCAGTTGTTAACACTTTCGAATTTTTATTCATGTATTTATTTATTGGCGTCCAACATTGCGTATACACTTTTTTGTTAACCAACACATGTCCGGTTCACTAATCAGCTTTTATTCATAATGTATAATTATTTTTATCGCTGATGTTTAAAATAAATGTCATTCATTCAAATTGTGTTCTTTGTACAATTCTTGCCGTAAATAATTTGCTAAAAACTTTCTCACATATAAGATGGTTTAGACACTTATTATAACATGGTTTTGAATATTATTGGTAATTCCATACTAATACCACAAGGAGCAGTGAACTTAATATCGTCCCATTCATTATATTTATGCTATTTTTGTCCCCATTATAACGGTGTCGTAGGACTAAATCAGACATTGAGATGAGTGTAAATTACCACACTGCATACTCGATAAATTGTGCGATAAATTTTAATATAACGAAAATAGATATTTTGTTGTTAATATGTCAATATTTGGTTTCAGAACAGTAACCATGTGAAGTGAGTTTCATATTCAAAGTCAAATACCTTCTATATTGAATGAAAGATAATGTCATCAGAAATAACGACTGCCATTATGTTCATTTGTGTAGTATTAGGACATTAGCCCTATTTCCTTCCGACCAGCTAATCAATGTTACATGACGGTTGACAACAGTGCCAATCTTGTTGGGGCAGCACGAACTGTTTCATATCCTGTCGAGTAGAATATCAACCTTGTCAAACTGGGATGGGATACATGAATATCCCACTTATCTCTAATGTGTAATAACGGTACAGGTATTTATATGGGTATAATCGTCCACTTACCTTTGGCCGTGCTGGTGATGGTCTGTAGTTGTTCAAGGACTGTGGTGCTATTATTGAAATCGTTTATTTCAATTGAGTGTTTGATCGTGTAGCCTTGCTTAAGTAACTGGGCCTGGACCCCAGACGCCATATGTCGCCACTGCAGACTACCGGTGGTCACAAATGCTAAATTTCCCCATTGAAATTGTCTCAGATATTCCACTAATCCGTCCGCGAGTGTTGCGTAACTGCCGTGCATTGATAACACAAAGGTGTCGCACGACCGACTGTAGAAACTATTAGCAAATATTAAAGGTTTCTGGTATAATTCAGCGTACATATACATTAATGAGCTAATCCTATCAGTTGTATAGTCGATGATTACGTCATAAACTATATTGGAAAATATTTCTTCCGCTTTGTTTACAACTTCAAGTTGATTTGTGAAGCTGAAGAGATGGGTGACTATTGTAGAGCCTAGAAAAGTAGGGTCCAAGAATAAATTTTTGGTTGTTTGCGCCAGCGTTTGTACATTTCCTGCCGTGAAATCTGCTTCCGTATCGATGAAAACGATCGCTATGTCAATTTGTGCAGCGTGTGTGGCTGGATAGTTTGTAATTGAAGTACACAGAATCATTACAAGACACCATTCAACTGACCAAGAATTTCTTGTCAAATCGGACTCTCGCACGCAGCCGCATCTCATTGTATTCCAAGATTGCTTTCCTATTTCTTAAAATGTTTAATTATAACAGATATCTCTAATCAAACCGAACTCTGCCAAAGTCTATACAATTCCTGTAGCAATGTGTGAAAATTACTATGAGTCAATGCTGGTGGCATTGAGAGCAAGTTGTAGTAATCGCCACAAAATGTTTCCAACTTCTCCCGAAACACACACCAAGGGAGTATTTTCCTCATATCAATCGTCCTTCCATGCTGTTCCAGCCGCGATGCTAACGTTACGGTACAGATGCCTTTCCTCGGTATTCTATCATGTCCTCAACATTCAGAACGTGTCAGAAAGGCCTTTATTTCCTCAGTTATTTTTTTTCTCCTGTTTTTCCCAAGAAAAGTTTATTTACAGGTATTGGTGAAAAGCGGAGAAACAATCATTTCATGTTCCGATATTAAAACGGTAGTCTCGAAACTGAAATATATAACATGATGTGTAGTGCGTATATTTTTATATAAGAGATATTCACCAATGCTTTGTTTTACACACGCAAATCACGTCGTCGCTCATGAAATATTTAACGGCAGTATTTGTATTTAATCAATCGTGTCGATGGTGTAATCCGAACAGTCGACTTCCAACATTAATATCCTAGTGGAAAAACCTCATTAAAATCACTGGTTGCCTTTATATCAGTTGTTCAATATATGAATGTCTTTATATACTTGATGTATTGTAACTCAATAAACCCGTTGTATAATTGTGCGCAGGTAATTCAAAACTGACTTCATTACATCGCATTCCATAGTTTATGGCCAACCAAATACAAGAATCCATCAGCGTCTACGGTGCTGTGCTCTACGCATCACAGCAGCGCGCACGTGTATGAAGTGACAGTATGATTGAGAAAATCCCCGTTTGTCGTCGAAGTCTTATAGAAGCTGCTGATCCAAACATCAATATTTAATAAACAAGGCTTAATGTTGAAAACAGCAACACGTCTTCCTCATTGCACCGATTACTTATCCTTTTTCATTTAGCGCCACAATGATTGGTATATATCAAATTTTATTTGATTGCGTGTCGCATGCGCTGCCTTCCGAGGTTTATAGTTGACTGATCCTGAGACAGGGATGCTCCGCTATCTCCCGTACTTCTAGTCGGACAGCAGGTATCTGAGCCCGGAGTGTCAATAAGCCGTGTGAGGCTCTCTCTGTTGCCTATACCCTCCGTGCGTTCAGGCTTCTACGTTTAAAAAGACTAATCTCGTATCTATCGATCGAAAGTCGAGGAATACGTATTCGTTGCTATTTTGCACGAATCGGCTATCCTCGCTTTCCGGAAAATGCGGAAAGATTGGGGTTTTGAATTAATCAATAGACCCAAATCATTGTTTAGGCAAAATTTGATTTTAAGGTTGATGACTTCAAAGTTGGTATGTGCAATGATCTGGTTAACGCCGCTCGCTTGTCCTGCTTCGCCACGGGCTTAGGGTAATCCGTCTGTGTAACGGAGTGTAAACATCACTATGCCATACCTATTGTATTCTTCTTACTCCTGACCCATTGTTCTCAGTCTTTTCTGATATTAACAGTCGACGTTTTTATCAATTTTGAATGATGTGTTGTCTCCGTCAGATTATTAAGGCATTAATACATACGCATGTGCGTAACTCAAGTATCTGTTATGAAAAGATTTCATCTTTTTTGTACATCAATGAAGAGTAATTATTCAACACTTGATTGAAGAATAATTGAAATTCATCGCCAGTATACCTTATGATCAAATATTTAAAAAAAATCCAATCTCAATACTTCCATCATGCAAGTTTCAATTAATGATGATAACACATAATTGTAGTTACAAGATAATTTTAATTAAAAACAAATTGAAATCAATTGGCACTGAACGATGGCTAGTGTATTCTCGAATTCATTTTTTCATATATATTTTAGCCAATGGTTGTTGAGTGATAACTGACAGTTACTTTTTTGCTTTCATATCCGTTTGTGCATTCATTTATCCGACTGTTAAAAGGTAATAATCACACCAAACAGAGGAAGCTAATTATGAAATAATTGCGGTATTTTTGAAAAGGTAAATAATTGTTTTCTTTGTAAGACAGGAAAACTTAAATAGAAATAGGAAGACACACTGTATTTCAGCGTCAACACACACAATTATAATTGAAACTCCACGCGGATACTAAAACACAATAACAGGAACCAAAATGGTGTAAAAAATGAAATCAAGAACCCGCATAACCATATTAGCTCCGAAAGGGTACGTACGAGCTGTACCCTATCTCGACACTTCTTTAAAAACTAAGTGGTCGTAAGGCTAGCATATCAATACAGTAATACATGATGCACACTGTACACATCGGTCTCCTGAACAAGGCTTTTCTGCAATTCACGACGCATGACCTGAAGCAATAATTAAATAGTCAAATTACACGATTCCGATACAAAACATATATATATATATATTAAACTTTCAAAACAACATAAATCAATGCATGTTTTTTTTAAATATAATTTAAATGTAAAACGGAAATAAAAGTAAACTAGGATAGAAATATTGATCCACAAAAGCATCGGTTTTGGATTAAGGAAGTCAGTAGTGACAGCATTTTCAACTGGCAAATTCATTCACTTTATAATTCATGATATTGTGAACAAACGTAGGTGTAAAAGTCTTGTTCATTAATAAACAAATTGCTTAACTTTGATTGTATTTGTTTTATTATCTTTTGAAATTGATAAACAAGTCACTGTTATCCAGTTAAATTGTAAATATAAGTATGAACATTTTTGTTCATATATTTTTTTAAAACAGTAGGATTTTAAAGTAATGGAATTATTATAAATATCAACAGTGTGATATACACCTTATTGTAACTGTCTTATGCCATTTGATATATGATAATATATGTAAATAAAAATAAAAAAAATCCTTAGTATAGCTTTTTTTAACTTTTTTTTTATATTTGTTTTTGTTATATTGAAACCGTTGATACACATTACACTTAACCAAACAAAATCGTTACATTTAAGGTTTGAATCTTGCTTTCAACCTTTATATTTCAATCAACGTGTTTTTTTTTAAATAAATGGAACTTGTGAAGTCCATTCTGATCGGAGCTTGTGCAAGTCTACGTATTGACGAAATGTAAAACAAATATAGTCCGTCATTGAAGGACCATCATGTAACATGATGGTGTGCGTTGATAGTTTAATACAGCCAAATTATTTAGAAAAAAACCCACAAAACTATATTTTAAATGTCATATTTTATTTTTGTTGATGAATTCATCAGATATCAAATGTCCGATGCGTCATCGCGGAAGAATAATGTCTACACGCGGTGCACAAGTTCAGCTGCGAGTCTACGGCAGTCATCTTTTTGCTAGCTCGAAGTGGAGAGCCGCTAAATTTCGAGGTTCTACATCTTCTGGAATGTGAAGCTGCTGTAATTGAATGTCGAATTAAACAGGAAACCAGACGTGGCTTGAAAGGACGAAAAATTTGATATGACATTTGGCTGTTAGACTGTATTTCATATAAGACGGGACCACATGGATATACCACAGGAGTTCGTTACAAATACCTGAAATACACATATGCTATACTGGTATGCGTCACAGCACACATAAACATACAGTTATACACATATGCTATACTGATGCTGAAAGGGTAGCTGGAGGGAGAATTTCTGGTGCAGTACGTGACTTGTCACAACCGTGAGCTGGTTGTTTTAACAATATCTTGTGTTTCTTCAATATCTTTGTTTAAACATGCCAATAGTTATATCCTTTCGCAAAATCTTACGCACAGGCAATGTTAATCTGGTCAAAATCATCGACAAATGAAACAGGTTACATTTGGTAGTTTCATTGAGTCCAACTTGAGTAGGAATTTAAATATTTACTGATATTTTCATAATACTTTTCGTGCAATAACGAACTGTTTTGGTAAGTACGAACAACTGTCTCCACACAATCATGTTAAAAAGGAAAAGAAAATCATATATAGTAAAACACAGACGTACATATGTATAAAGAACTCGGATTTTCCCCCTATCATTTATTGAAGATTTGATAACAACGTGGCTATATGTAAAACTGTTTTTTTTACCCTGAATGCTAAACGGACCAATGCTGGTTATTATGTCAAAAACTATCATTGTTTCGCCAGCTGGTTCATCGCTTCTGTCATCATCTACATGGTTAACATAGGCGTCGTAATGAGCCAGGTAATAGCGTTACATCACATCGTCTTGTAGTTTAACCCTATAGCCTGCTGTTGAGGCGTTAAATCCTGAAGGCGCAAAATTCTTCAATCTCCTGTCGGAGCTTCAAACCCTAAAAGTTTGTACTGAAGCGTTAAACCCCGTAAGATTCTGTTGAGGCACTATAATCCCGGAAGCCATTTGACGAAGCATTAAATCATATAGCCTTATGTAAAGCTATATACCTCAAAGCCTTGTGTTGAAGCATTACAACGTTAAGCCTCGTGTTTAAGTGTAAACTATTTAACATTGTGATAACACCGAATCTTTTGATTAAGCTTTAAACCCTACAGTCTTGTGTTGAGGAGTAAAAAAAATATAGTCTGAAACATTTAATCTTATAGAATTGTGGTGCAATCTCAAACCTGTTATCCTTGTGTCGAAGCTTTAAACCCAATAGCCTTGTG